ATATTTCAAGTAGTTATATGATATAAGTTATAAAAACTAATATAATATAACACATGTAAGTCGTAAGTAACATATATCATTCTAAAATATAGAGTAATATATATATATATATTTTTTTTTTTTTTGTAAAAAAGTAAACTAGATTTTTATAGTTTTCTCATTAATTTTAAAATTTAAGAATATTTTTTTAACAAGCACCCGTGTATTACACGGGTGTTGTACTAGTTAACAAATATAGATTATCTTTTATCTTTATATGAAATATATGAATTTTGGGGTTTGTTTTACTTTGTTTCGTGACCTGACTAGAGGTCAGCCAACGAAAACTCCAAAGCCCTTGTGGGACTGAAATTCTTTTCGTCTGTCTCGTGTCAGTGCTCTTTCATAAACTTAGTTCTCTGCGCTGACCATTCAAGAACGAACCTTCCTCGCGTATGTATAAAACTGAATCCATTCAATTTCTAAAAAAGATTACTAATCCTTAACTTTTCGAGGGGTCGTGGACTCGTGGGTCACGGATAAGTGTAGGCTTATAGTTTTTTTAATATACAAGAACGTATTAGGATTTTTTTTCTCTCTCTTGTGATGGTAGATATGTTGCGCGCAAAATATGATCAGTGGAACCAATTTCATAATTTATAGTGTAAAAATAATGAAATATTGAGTGCCATGAGGATTAATCAAATTAATTTTATAGTAAATTGTTTAAATAGTATGATACTATAAAATTTTTATTTCAAAATTAACATTATTAAAATTAAGATGAAAAAATTCGAATTATTTGACTATATATACATATATAGATAGAAAAATATCCATAAAAAGTTCATATAAAAATTTATATTTTGCTTTTTATATAAACTTATATCAGTACAACACCCATGATTATAGGGGTCGACGGAGGTACACGGGGCCCAAGGGAGCTCGTGGGCCCCCTGATTTTTTTTTGAAAAAATCAATATATATATAATAATATAAAATATGTATATAAATATAAAAATGAATTCAATATAATATAAAGAAAATACTTTAAAATATGTAAAAAATATAAAAAAAATATTTACAATATATTACTAATTAAAACTTATTATATGCTATTTTTAGTTAAATAAATAATATTATTTATTTATTAAAAAATATACTAACAATTGTTATATTTTAACTTTTTAGATAAACTTTTAAAAATATTTATAATTATTTACTCTTTGGGTCTCTTAATTGTAAATTGATTTAATGATTTATAAAATCGATTATTTATTAGTTGGATTGTTACGTCTTTTAATGTTGATTCTTTACTTTTTTTGTGTAATCACATATTTTTAACTTTATTTATTTTTTTTAAATAAGTATTCATTTGATAAGCTTGCATCAACAAAATGATAGACATGAAATCTTAATTTTATTTTTAATTTTTTGTTTATTTTTTTAAGTTTGAGGGCGATACGGATTATATCAATATTATATTTATAGTAAATACATTTTTATATATGAAATAAGTATTTCCACTTAAACTTCAAGCTCATTATTTAACATTTAAAATTGGATCATCCTGAGTGAAATTTTTGGATCCGTCACTGAAAGGGGTGCTAATTAAATAGTTTATACTATAATTTCTTAAAAAATGTAAGAAATAAGATTTTTTTTTATTTAAATTATAGATATTTTTAAAGAAATTACATTGTATTTATACTTAAAATAATATTTTCACTTGTAAGGTTTTTTATTCTTATACTATATAATTTTATAATTCCTATGTAATGAACTTATCGATGCTTTTTTAATTGATTGTAAATTTATTAAATTTTAATTAGTATTATATATGACTTAATTTTGTTAATAATATGTTGAAAATAATTAGCTAATCATATGGTAATACCTAGAAATATAATGCTAATTAAAATTTATATCTGATTTTTCTTTTAAGTTTTTTTTTTTATGTTTAAAATGTTTTTGAAAAATATATTATTATTTATATTTAAAACGACACTCATAAGTCATTATTGTTTCGCCTTATTCATATGATAATATGATAATTCTTCTAATCAATATTATTGATGTGAGATATTATCATACGATTCTAAATCGATTTTGGTTAACTCGGTCCTAATAGAAGGCATGTCAACAAAACTGGCCCGAGGCTCGATAGATCGAGGAAAGCTCGTGAAGTCTCAATGAGCAGATATATTAGTGGAGCGTGAGGGGCGACGGTTTCGGAGACAGGTGGAACGTGGCCCTGGGAGTGCGGTAGCAAGTAAATCTGCGTGGAAGTATAAAAGCAGGAAAAAGGGGAAAAAAGAGGTAAGTTTTTTCAAGGCATCAATAGCATCTCTTCTCTGAATCACGTTTTGAGATCAATACTTTTGAAATTACTAACTTAATCGTCGGAGGGCCAAGCCGGAGATTGTTCTACTCCGGTCTAGGCTTCTTTGCAGGGATTGAGGACGATTGATCGGTACGGAGAGCGAGAATTCAGGGATTCTAATCGATCTGAGGTATTATTATCATACCAATTATATATTTGTGACTTAATAGATAAACTACTCAATTAATAAATAAATTCTTAGGGGATGTATTTAATTAGAATTTATAATGACTTTTTAAGACTTTAGAAATTTTTGGGGTATTCAATTTAGATTTGTTAAGACTTTTAAAAATCATGAGGTATTCAATTAGGATTTTAAAAAGTCTTACAAAATCACAAGGTATTTAATTTATTTGACACTAGGATTCATTAAGACTTATTAAGATTTGGTGGGATTTCTAAACAAAAATCTTTATACGAAATTCTACTTAAAATCCTACATCCGGACTTAAGATTTCATAGTATTCTTCCAAAATCCGAAAATCTTAAAATGTCTCAATTCTTAAAAGGTCTTAAATGTCGCATAAACTCCTAATTGAATACACCCTCTTTAAAGTCTGGAGGTAAGATTTGAAGTGAGATTTCATATAAGGTTTTTTGTTTAAAAATCGTATAAGTTTTTTTTTGTTTAAAAATTTCACCAAATTTTAAAAAGTTTTAATAAATCTTAGTGTCAAATAAATTAAATACCGCAAGATTTTGTAAGACTTTTAAAATTCCAATTAAATATCCAAAAATTTTTAAAAGTTTTAAAAAGTATTAATAAATCAAAATTGAATACACTAGGATTTCTAAAGAATTGAATACAACCGTATCACAACGATAAATTAATTTTTAATATGTATAGCTTAATAAGAACACCAAAACCCTAGACGCCACACTTATTATAACTCTTCAAAAGCTTCTGCTATTACACCAAAGCTCAGTGTAGCGGCGACAACAATGGGTAGATCTTCCATTTCTCTCTCCTGCTCAACTCCATCCCATTTTAATTAACCGCTTGGGGATTTTTCTATTTACCTTTTGATTTTATCGATTTGCTGTTGTTTTTTGCAGGTGCCTACACATACGTGTCGGAGTTATGGAAGAAGAAGCAATCCGATGTGATGCGGTTCCTGCAAAGAGTCCGCTGCTGGGAGTACCGTCAGCTTCCAGCTGTTGTACGTGTCACCCGCCCGACCCGGCCCGACAAGGCCCGCCGCCTCGGATACAAGGCCAAGCAGGTATCATCATATCATTTGAGTTGGAACCCATTTCGGAGTTTCCTTTGTTTTAATTTTCCAATGTGTGTTTATGGATCGTGATGAGGTTGCTGTTGAGTATACCATCAGTGTGCATTTGACTCTTGAGTTGGTGTCGTGGGAAATGGCTTGTTTGGATGTTTTGATTGGATGCGTTATTGTGAAGGTGTTGACTATGTGTACATGCCTAATTCCTAGCATTTTTGTTGTATCGTTTTGGTTTCTTTTGTCTGGAATGTTATATATGCTGAACCAGAAAAAAATAAATAAATAAATTGCCATGAAATGGCCGATTTTGTGAGAACTTGGTTAAAATGTTGTTTGTAATTGGTGATGGTCTTAATGTGGAATGATGGGATCAGATTGTATCACTTATTTTCAGTAAAATTGTGGTTTTGTGGTTCTTAAATCATTACAAAATAAAAAATGTAAGAAGTACGAAAGACTGGAGTCTTCATAAAATGTGCAGGAACTATGTGTTTCTTGGTGAGTTTGGCTTTTCCAGTAGCTCCTAATTCTTTTGATTTTTAGAACAAAATAGTTCCTCAGGGGACATTATAGTGTCCTTTCTGAATTGTATCAATGTTTTTTCATTTTAAAATGGCTAATCGGAGGTCTACTTTGGTTAAGTACTTTGTATGTCTCCGTTCTCCAAATGGTGTGGTTTCCTTCTTAGTATTTATTTGCATACTAATGTCAGTTTGAATAGACCCATTTAAAAGGTAGAATAAGATTAAATATTCCAAATAATCTTTTTAGCAATGTCCAGATATCTGCTAACTGCCCCTTGCAAAAGTTATTTGCACTTGCAGTCTTATTGATGTATGAAAGATCAGCAAAGCTGAGTTACCACTAGCTTAGTGGAACTTTCAATGTTGTAGGACAATTTTAGCATTTTTTGCTGGAAATTCCTTGTTGCACATTCATATGCATATTCAACTAGGCCCAAGCCGAGGCTGTTGATATGGATAGGATCCTCAAAACATTGGAGAAGCAGTGCATGGTTCCCACCCTGAATCAATACTAGATTCTATTTTGCTTGGGTCATTTGAAGTTCAAAGCCTGACTGTAAAGCTTATTTTTAGAAAACAAGAAAATAAAAGTAAACCCAGGATGTAGTTTCCTTCGCTCTTAGTTTGCCTCTCATTAGTAATTAGTAATATTTAAAAAGTAACTAAAAAAGTCGTACATGAAAGAAAAAAGAAAAAAAAAAATAATCATAGGAATGAACATTATCTACTGAAGCCTACTTTACCTTAAAACAGCTCCCAAGCTGTCCTTCAGAAACTAGCGTCCATGCTTTTCTCCCACCCTCCAGTTGAATTTAAGTTTGTATATACCAAAATGTAATTGTACCTACCATCTCCAGGATAACTTTAAAAGGTTTTCTTATTTATCATGCTCACTTACAGTAATAATCGTGAGTGATTATCGTGATTGCAGGGTTATGTGGTGTACCGTGTGCGTGTTAGACGTGGTGGGAGGAAGAGGCCTGTACCCAAAGGTATTGTGTATGGAAAGCCCACCAACCAAGGTGTTACCCAGCTAAAATTCCAACGCAGTAAGCGCTCTGTTGCTGAGGAACGCGCTGGACGAAAACTTGGTGGTCTGAGGGTCCTCAACTCTTACTGGATTAATGAGGTTTGCATCTCTCTCTTTCTCTCTCTCTCTCCATATCTCTCTATTTAACTTGCCACGTTATATTCAATCTTGTCGAACACATTCTTCATTCTCTTGACAATCTCATTAGAACTTAACTGAGAACATGTACAAACCATTATCTCATTATCCTGCAGATAACATGAGTTCCATCGGTTTCATATGATAAATAAACTGAGTGGTCTTTTTTTGTTTGAAGAAGGTCGTTGACTAGTTCATTGCGGATATAACTAGTACATAACAGAATTAAACATGTGGGCCTGTGGGCTTATATGGTCTTTGCAGGACTCTACTTACAAGTACTTCGAGGTTATCCTTGTTGACACGGCCCACACTACTATCCGCAATGACCCAAGGATCAACTGGCTCTGCAACCCGGTCCACAAGCACAGGGAGCTTCGTGGGTTGACCTCTGCTGGAAAGAAATACAGAGGTCTCAGGGGAAGAGGCCACCTGCACCACAAAGCCCGTCCTTCGAGGAGGGCCACCTGGAAGAGGAACCAAACCCTTTCCCTGCGCCGTTACCGTTGATCTTTTTAGAGATTCTGGTTTTGTCGGGATACTTGGCTTAATTGCTTGCTATCTGTTGTTTCTGGTCTTGGATAATATGAGTCTTGTTCTATGTGGTTTTCTAATGTTGTTTAACTCTTGGATCACCTGGATTTATTGTGGTTTTGGTTATGTCATGGGGAGTTTTCTTGTACTGTTTTTCCTATATATTACCGGATTTTAATGGCTATGATGAAGTTGCTTGCTTACCTGAATTGAATGCTGATAGCTGACTAGCCATAATTTCCCAACCCAAGCCATTTACTGCAGTGTAATACTGCTTTTGTTCATGGGCTTCTGTGTTTAGTTCATATAGGTTATGCGTTACTAAATCAGTGTTTTGTAATAAAAACCCTATCTGGTAAGTCATTTTTTTAAAATTAATTTTTATATTTAACGTATTATTGTTTGTGTTGATTATTTAGAATAATTAATTTACTACACAATTCAGTTAGATACAATAACCCCAAATTTATTGTCACATTTGCTTACACTTGTTGAACGTAAGATCTCTTTTGCGGACTCTTATTGAACATAATTCAACACAATTCCAACAGAATCAATTTTTTGGATGTGCTCTTGGAAATGTCTCAAGCTCTTGGGACACATCCGCTTTATAGAATGAACAATTATAACATCCGTGTTATTGAAAGGACAATCATCTAATCATAACATTGTTCACTCTTCTAAATGTCTCAAACTCTTGGGACACATCCGCGTTAGAGAATGGACAATCATAATTGAAAGGACAATCATCTAATCATAACATTGTTCACTCTTCTAAATGTCTCAAACTCTTGGGACACATCCGCGTTAGAGAATGGACAATCATAACATCCGTGTTTTTGAAAGGACAATCATTTAATCATAACATTGTTCACTCGTGGAAATGTCTCAAACTCTTGGGACACATATAGAATGGACAATCATAACATCCGTGTTTTCTAAAGGACAATTATTTAATCATAACATTGTTCACTCTTGGAAATATCTCAAACTCTTGGACACATCCGCGTTATAGAATGGACAATCATAACATCGTTCACTTAAATATTTCTATGTAAATTTGAATGTCATCTTCATGCATATAACATATTGAAAGAAAGACAATCATAACAATATCTACTTATTGAAAAGAGAATCATAACATCGTTCACTAGAGTAATGTAAATTTGAAATGTCATCTTCAACCATGTAATATATTTGATAGGAAGGGCAATCATAACATCGTCCACTTGAATATTTCTACGTAAGTTTGAAATGCCATCTTCAACAACATAAGATGTTAAAAGAACAATAATAATATTGTTCCTCGAAGTAAATTTAAAATGTTATCTTCAGTAACAAGACACACAAGGTGATGTAACATCTAGAATAATTCGGTTAGCTAACTAGAAAGGTTAGCTCCGTCGTAGACGGTTCAAGAGAGCGCCATCCAGTTCAGTACTTACACCTTACGACAACCCTGCAAAGCTCGGAGGTCGGTATACCAAGGATGCTCGGACACCATAGAGATACAGGCAGCTCGGAGGTCGGGAGACCAAAGAAGATTGGATATCATAGAGAGATCTAGGTAGCTCGGAGGTTAAGAGATTTAAAGAGCTAAGCTAGGAGATCTAGGTAGCACGGAGGTCGGTTGGGGTTAGGTCGTGGTTCCGACCTGGATAAGACTATTGGTAGGTAGGTGTAGATGTCAGGTTGGCGACCTCGAAAACTAAAAGTCGTGCAACAAGAGGGGAAATAACTCTAGCTTCATGGACGGGAAGTACATATTGATAAGGATTCTCAGATTCAAGAAATCTTGCTAGTTAGAAAAGTGAATACGAGAGGATCTCTTTCCTAACTAGGACTCTCTTAGCTACCAAATTACCCTATGTATATAAGAGTATCTAGATAATTTACTTTACACAACACATGTACACACGCAAGAACTTGCATACATACATACTCTGAAATTTGTCACCTACATACACTGACTTGAAGTCATAGACTTTTCTGTCAGGACCCCTCTCGGCATATTGCAAGTTGTCGGAGCTCTGAGCTCGTGGTTCGCGGTTCAAGACAATTTGCGTATCACATTGAACAAACATGTAGCATAACATAAATAGATGGTTATTACCACAAATATAGTTGTTAAACTAAACGAGCCGCTCGTAAACTCGGATCGTTAAGGCTCGAGATGAGCTCGATTCGGCTAGTTTGATAAACGAGCCCAACTCGAGTTCAATTAAAACTCGTGCAGTTAACGAGCCGAGTTTGGCTCGACTCGACTCGATAAGGATCGTTAAGACTTGAAAAAATTATTTTGATGTATTTTTTTATAGTTCGGCTCAATTTTGGCTCATTAAGACTCGGGCTCAACTCGTTAATATATATAAACGAGCTGAGCTCGAGTTCGAATATAAGCTCGTTAAGGACTCGAGCTCA